GGTAAGCACAATATCTCAAAAATGACTTTTTGACTGGACACTGCCTGCAAGGACCAGGCGAAGCGAGCGCGAGTACTCGTGCGGCTGAGGATGAGACATTGTCATTGTGATTGTCTGACGCTTGAGCCCAGTGGCAGCCCCACTACCTTCAGACCAGCCGTGCTAAGAGCGATGTCGCTTTTACCTCCCAGAGCGATTTGATAGCTTTGGAATATACTTTGCAACAGAACGGTATCTACTTAGTAGTGTTTCCGCTATCGTCCCATTGTGATGTCTTAACTTCAATATGCGCATACCACTAACATGTCATAGCGCTTTTTATTGCTGATTAGCTTTATATTCGGAAGCTATTTGATTCACACTCGCATCTGTTAGCGAGATTAGTCTGGGCAAGAACCCATACAGACTCGCCAGCAAAAGCCATTGCACATTTGCAGCTTCTTTCTCAAGGAATATCGTCGCTTTGGCTTGATCATCGGGCGTTTGGTTGATTCTTCAAGGTTGTCTTTTTCAGGTCTCAGAACTGTTCTCCTACTAGCAGACTTTCACTCAAGATAAGCATCCCCTCTTTTTGTCCGCACTGACTGAATAAGAATATTCACACCACGAAACGGGACTTTTGCTTAGCGTGATACCAGTAAAACCAGCATCTCTGCCTTTGCCGACAGATGAAGCAGAGTATTTGGAAAAGGCGAAGACTTTATTTGGATGACCCGAGCACCGCAAGGATTCGCACTATTTTGTAAAGCTGGACCAGCAATGATAAGTGCATAATGCGTTCGATGTACCTACATTGGACTCGTCTTGCAAACGGAAAACTTTTTTTGTTGAGATTAGACGTAGACTCTTATCCCCTTGGTAGAAAGAAAGAACTCTAGACGAACGCTTTGTTCGTTTAGAGTTTTTTCATAACGAACGTTTTGCCGGTTCAAATTTATGAACTTGGAATTATCTGGTGCTACTTCAATTCTCGTGCTATGTGATAGTGCTCCCAATAACTGATTTTAAGCACATTTCCATATGGTAAAATGTGTTCAATCACTTTACAAAGTTTTGATCGAGAGCAGCGCTATGCATTTTATGTGCAAAACTCCATCTCTTTTGGCATTATTGTATCGTCTTAGCGTAAACTATCGCTCTCGATAGCTGCACATTACATACATGTTCGTATGATGGACATGTCAATGCAGAGGTGGGTGTGCTTGTACGGCTTCTGAAAAAAGGCAATGTACCCTCGATATCATCCCATATGTCTTCCCTCAACATGACGTGGATTACGTGGCTTGATGAGGCGCCGCCTCGCCTCGGGCTCGCGCCACGTTGCGTGCGCATCTTCGGCGTGATGTGGCAACAAGAACAACATGGAAAAGCCTTGCGCCACGTTGGCTTGAGCGCCACGTCGCGCCAAACGATGCGCTCGCAACGTGGCGCGAGCCCGAGGCGAGGCGGCGCCTCATCAAGCCACGTAATCCACGTCATGTTGAGGGAAGACATATGGGATGATATTGAGGGTACACATGTAGTCTAACGGGTTAACGTGATGACTCTCGTTGGACGGAGAGGGGTTCAATCTCAGCGAGCTGCAATGGTTTTACGGTCGACCTTTGATTGCATCGTGATTACCTGTAAAAACGAGAGGCTATAGGAACTCGCGAACCTCACGCCCAAAACATGAGCTTGTCATGAGGTTCGCGAGCTTGCCGTCATGTCTTATGCCAACATGTCGGGTGGATTACTACGGGCCCAGATAGCAAAATGAAGTTTAATGACGACGAAGGAACGGGACGTGTATTCCTAACCGTTCCTTCGTTGTTTGCCGTTACAGAGTATGATAAAGTATGATTTGAAAATGTGACACAACATAATTCGACGAATTTTTACATAACCTATAATCATCTCAGGAATGAACAACGATTCATTCTACGATTCTTCCCTAACATTGATTA